GTCTGTGGTCATGAAGTCTTTTGAAAAACTGGTGCTGGCCCACCTGAAGGACATTACTGGACCCTTGCTGAATCCTCTTCAGTTTGCCTACAGAGCAAACAGGTCTGTGGACGATGCAGTCAACATGGGACTGCATTATGTTCTGCAACATCTAGAAAGACCAGGGACTTATGTGAGGATCCTGTTCGTGGACTTCAGCTCGGCCTTTAACACTATCATCCCAAACCTCCTCCTGCCCAAACTAACTCAGCTCTCCGTGGCCACCTCGAAAATACACATCCAGCACCCGTATAATCAGCACTGGAGCTCCTCAGGGTTGTGTTCTCTTCCCACTGCTCTTCTCCCTGTACACCAATGACTGCACATCTAAAGACCCCTCTGTCAAGCTCCTGAAGTTTGCAGATGACACCACACTCATCGGCTTCATACAGGACGGTGACGAGTCTGCTTACAGATGTGTTCCCATAGCGTCTTTAGCAAGACACAGTACGAGAGCAGTATTGACAGGGAACGTACATGGTACGTACACGGTTACTAACATAACGTCGGTTCCCTGAGATACGTGAACGAGTACTGCGTTGCTAGCCGTGCTATGCAGCCGCATGACTCAGTCATTGCTTCAGTCAAAGCATCCTGAGAATCCTGTGGCAAACGCCCGCTTATATAGCCAGATGGCCCCGCCCATTCTGGCGGGCTTTGTCGCCATTGGTTCATTTTTAATACACTGCACGAACCAATGGCCGTGCAGTTTCACTGCGTGATTGAAAAAGGCTTCAGTTCAGGAGAAAATAGTATTTTTCCCATAGCGTCTTTAGCAAGAGGCAGTACTCATTCCTGTATCTCAGGGAAACAAGGTTATGTTAGTAACCGAGTACTTTTTGTCATGTCTATGTCTATGAACTTTATGCAACTATGCAGTGACTACCAATGACAGGCTAGTGCAGGGGTGGCGAACGTCGGTCCTGGAGAGCCGCAGCCCTGCAGAGTTTTGCGTCAACCCTAATCAAACACACCTGAACAAGCTAATCAAGGTCTGAAGGGTTACTAGAAAGCTACAGGCAGGTGAGTTTTAATTAGGGTTGGAGCTGTACTCTGCAGGGCCGGAGTTCGCCACCGCTGGGCTAGTGCATTATAGGCAATTTAATTTCCAGAGTACTCATTTTTTTTTTTTTTACTACATTTGAGGTAGCTGACCTCTATGGTGGAATCATAATTGTCATGAAACCTCACTATTGGCTGGCGGATTGATTGATTGATTGATTTTTTACAAAATCTATTGACTGGAAAATTCTTAACAGGGGCCATGATGAAATTACATAACCTTTTAAATAACCATTACATTGGTAACATGCCTGTAAGATGCTTTTACATGAAGTTAGCCAGGTTTTGGACCAGATCATACTGTAAATTATGCAATTGATGTGTTTCTTCACTTATTTCTTTGCACTTTATTTGTTCAGAAGACTGTGTCTCCAAAAGTAGAAATTTTGAATAATGTTCTCACTGCTGAGAAAATTCTTGAATAAATTACAAAATCGTATTGATCAGGATCTGTTAAGTTCAGATCAGTTTCGCTATAGATCTTACTCTCTGTTGTAACTCATACCCCCGGTTTCACAGACAAGGCTTAAGCCTAGTCCCAGACTAAAATGTAAGCCTGCGCTGTTTCAACGGAAAGAAACTTGCACTGACTGATCTTAAAATATACATCAGTGCCGTTGTTTTGTCTCAAGATGCACACCAGTAATGTTTTTTCTAAGTCAAGTCAAATCAAGTCACCTTTATCTGTAAAGCACTTTATACAATACTGGTTGTGTCAAAGCAACTTTACAGTGTTAAACAGGAGCATAGTTTGTTAATGATGCAAGAAAACAATAACAGAGTAATTTGTCCAGCTAAAGTCAGTTCATTGTTGATTCAGTGATGTCCTCATCCAGTTAAGCTCTCTTCCAATAGTGTCTGTGCAATCAGTCAAGCGTCCCCAACTAAGCAAGCCAAAGGCAACAGTGGCAAGGAACCAAAACTACATCGGTGACAGAAATGGAGAAAAAACCTTGGGAGAAACCAGGCTCAGTCGGGGGGACAGTTCTCCCCTGGACTGACGAAACGAGCATGGTGTGGTTTAATTCCAGGCTGCAACACAGGTGCAGAGGACTTGTCTGTTTCCGGTGGTCTTTTGCCGATGGTTGTCTTCACAGGGGATCTGTCTCTGGGGCGCATCTAGTTGATAAGGCACATTTATAAAAATCACTTAAATGTCTTAATTGAGCTATGGCCTAATCCTGGATTAGTCTAAGCCCTGTCTGTGAAACCAGGCCTTAAACTACTAAAATCCCACTTACAAATCACTTGTGACTGATCACAAAACTGCAGTTTAGAATGTGCTAGATGTAAATGTAAATTTTGTCCCCACATGATGCAATTGTATGGCATCAGAAGTCATAATATAGCATAAGAAACTCAGGGCCTACTTTTGTTGTGCTATGGTGCTACTTTTATCATGCTTTTTTGGAACTCGAAATCCTGCTCAAATATGTTGTATGGAAAAGAGCAGCTATGACATTGTGTTAAGTGTCTTATTTTATGCTCTAAGGAAGAAAGAAAGTCATGGCTTTAGAGCAACAGGATGAGTAAATTATACATTTTTATCAGGATCATGGTCACCATGCTCACTGATGCATCTCTTGCAACTTGTGAATTGGAGTGACAAAAACAACATTCAAAAGGTCATGCCTTTTAAAAGGTCAAAGCCATGTCTCGTCTAAATGTGTTTCTAATCGTGTTATGGTATAAGGTTAAATCGATGCTCTGATGTGTGATGGGATGTGTTATTTCCTTCCTTTTCTTTATAGGAAAGTGCGAGACGCCACAGTAGTGGATATTAACATGCGAGTGGGTGTTCACTCTGGAAATGTTCTCTGTGGTGTGATTGGCCTCCAGAAATGGCAATATGATGTCTGGTCACATGATGTAACTTTAGCCAATCACATGGAAGCAGGTGGTGTACCTGGGTGAGCGATTGTGGGGTTTTTATTTAATTGTATGCTTAATTTTTTTTATTAAAGCTATTCATAATCATTTTCAGTTTGTAGAAGATGTGAAATTGTTAAGAATCTTTTGAGAAAAATTTTTATCATGCTTTTTTGGAACTCGAAATCCTGCTCAAATATGTTGTATGGAAAAGAGCAGCTATGACATTGTGTTAAGTGTCTTATTTTATGCTCTAAGGAAGAAAGAAAGTCATGGCTTTAGAGCAACAGGATGAGTAAATTATACATTTTTATCAGGATCATGGTCACCATGCTCACTGATGCATCTCTTGCAACTTGTGAATTGGAGTGACAAAAACAACATTCAAAAGGTCATGCCTTTTAAAAGGTCAAAGCCATGTCTCGTCTAAATGTGTTTCTAATCGTGTTATGGTATAAGGTTAAATCGATGCTCTGATGTGTGATGGGATGTGTTATTTCCTTCCTTTTCTTTATAGGAAAGTGCGAGACGCCACAGTAGTGGATATTAACATGCGAGTGGGTGTTCACTCTGGAAATGTTCTCTGTGGTGTGATTGGCCTCCAGAAATGGCAATATGATGTCTGGTCACATGATGTAACTTTAGCCAATCACATGGAAGCAGGTGGTGTACCTGGGTGAGCGATTGTGGGGTTTTTATTTAATTGTATGCTTAATTTTTTTTATTAAATCTATTCATAATCATTTTCAGTTTGTAGAAGATGTGAAATTGTTAAGAATCTTTTGAGAAAAATGATAGTAATTGCAAGTTCTTGATGAATAGCCGAGTCCACATCACCTCAGTGACTCTTGAACACTTGAATGGGGCATATAAGGTTGAAGATGGAGATGGCCAGGAACGTGAAACTTATCTAAAAGAGCATGGAGTTGTAACCTACTTAGTGATCAACCCAAAGGTATGAAGAACAAATAAACAGTCGCTGTTGTTTCTTTCAAGTCTAAAGCATTCTTTCAAAACCTAGCCATTATTGGCGATGCTGCTGTCATTATAAAATCTTGTGGCAATATATATCATGTTGCTAAGTTGTCCAAAGTACTTACAAAATGCAGCCGAGTAGGTTAAGTGAAGTTTGTCTAGACTGCGGTCAATTTTTTTTTTTTAGGCAGAGAGAAAAAGTCCTCAGCATCACTACAGACCTAGACACACCATGGATGGGGCTAAAATGAGAGCTTCAGTGAGGATGACCAGATACCTGGAGTCATGGGGTGCAGCCAAGCCTTTCGCCAACCTTCACCACAGAGACAGCATGACCAATGAGAACGGAAAAATCAACACTGCTGTGAGCTTTCCCATGAGACACTATGAACTCTACAATAGTGGTTCTCAACTGCCCTCTCTTTTTTTTCTCCTTTTTTTTCCAGGGTCTAGATTTTAGAGTGGAGAAGTTAAACTGCTTAATGTACAAAAGTAAATAAAAATGTCCTTAAATTAATATTAAAAATATATTACAAATGACCAATTGACACTTTTGAGAATTCATAAATAGCAGCAGAAGATTCCTTCTAGGTAAACACTTGGTAAAATTAATATACAAGTGAGGTAAATCAGCCTTTAATGTTAATAACAAAAATAAATAAATAAAAGTACTATTGTAGCGATGTACTTATATAGTTAGTTTCATCCATTTCCAGTTCAAGACCCACCAGTCCCATATGCAAATGTAATATATGTACATATAGTATGCTTCCATATATGAAATAGATTGTCACATGAAGTAAAAACATATGAAACCTATTAGTAATTAGACATTTTTTATATATTAACATTATATATATATAT